GTTTTTCCCGCTTAGGACAACAGCTTCTATAAAAGTTTAAGGCTTCAACTTTTACTTTCTTTTGAATTTACATATTTTTTTTTTATCAGGGGGGAGGGGGGGTGAGGTGGGAGGGGGGAGGATTACAGTGTTTCATGTTATGACTATCAGTGCACTCACAAAACTGTCAAAAACTGTTGAGTCTCTAGTGAGTGCATTAAGGTGGTGTGTCAGATAATGAGTGTAAAAGACGATTTTGAAGGATAATATGGAAGAGAGTGAAAATAGTGGGGCGCTTAGCAAACCTATTGTGCATTTTGTGATACAAGCACCAAATTTGACACATATGTACATTAGCATATTGCAAACATTTTCAGATATTGGGCCACTCGGATTTCTCTCTTAATGTCCGCCATATTGGATTTCAAAATGGCCGCCAATTGAAATCTAAATTTGCTATTATCTCTGCATCAAATGCTGCTATTGACTTCATTTTGGTGTTTAAATGTATTTTTTGGGGAGGGGGGGGGTCAAGGAATCAAACGGTAACAATCTGCATTGCGTTAGATCATACCCACTATGCTAGGTGGATACCAGTGCACCTGAAGAACATCGCCGAACTCACTACCAAACACCCAGACGTAGCCGGGAAATTCAGTGAAGGCCATTTCAGAGTTGAGAAAACTCAGAGGGTGTTCTCTTCAATCCCGATTGACCAGGCACATTAGCAGAATAATGCCTACATCAAAGGAAACGGCGGCGCAGTTGGGCTCACTGACAATCCTAAAGCCCTTCGTCGCTGGGTGGTTGCAAGACCAGAAATTGCTAGGGTGGTCGAAGAATTCCAGGACGGGAACCAATACTGGAGACGGCAAACAGCAGACACACGTCACATGATCAGACGCCAAGTGTACAGGCCTCATTTGTGAAAGATGTTCGCCCTCTCGTCGGTGTCATAGAGGAGATGAGCACCCCATTCGAGGAGGAGAGTCATACTGGACTCAAAGGACATCGCAGGTCCTGCTGCCGTGGAGACGGGGATGAATACCAAGAGGATTGACCAAAAACAGTCCGAGGCTTTCACCAGAGAATGTCTGTTGGACAGAACAAAGGCGGTGGACGACCCCATTCCTTGTAACAAGCTGAAGGTGTTTAGATTCTAACACTTCCACTCCCAGAAACAAGAGCATATGTTAGCAACAGCTCGCCTCCGTCAAAAATGATCGTGAACTCGTCGCACGCCTGTACATTGGCTGGCAGACGAGGGATGGAAACCTTGAGGAGTTCTTTCGTCACGACAACCAGGCATGTCCTCCTGTACTGTCTGCAGGTGGGAACTTCTTCACTTGTACCAAGAATGATCTCATCACATGCTAGGAAGAAGTCTCCGACCCCAGGAGGAAACTCTTCACAAGGAAGAACGATGTGCAGCTGATCCCCCCGACGAAGGCAGCTTTAGAGGAACACATCAAGAGTGGAGTGTATCAAGGTGGACATGTGTGGGGTCAGATACTTTTGCCAGCACCAGAGCTCCCTCCACCAACCAACTGAGGTTGATCAATGACTGGAGGACAGTGCACACCATACTTGACCAGGCTACATGAGGCAGCTCGCAGCTGTTTTGAGCTGGGGGGTTTTAAAGTGCCATTTATGGCGTGTGAGGCTCTGCAAATGCAAGAAAGCTGTCCTCTGTGTGTGAAGGGGACTGCACATGGCGATGAGTCCACAACATACATGTACTTGTGGCAGTGCTGAACTTGTTAACATGACACTGTTTATGTAAACGTATCTCCAGTACCGATGTCTAACTAGCTTCAGACCATTGAAGAATGAGGGTATACACCTAGCCTCAGAAATTAGACCATGTAGCATGTCAGAATTGTACCTAAGACATTTACAGACTTAAGACTTTTACACCCATTTAATATGCTTTCAAATATGAGTCGATAGTGCCGTGAAACTCCTACTCAATCAAGCAATCAATCAATCAACATACTTTCATATGATCATTCTTTTCAAAGTGTCGTGTTCAAACTAACATTTTCCAAGATCAGTTTATATAACAGAGTGTGAAAAATAACATTACGTTGAAAATGATGCCGTTGGATTGTTCATTGAATTGTTCATTGGATTAGATTCAAGCATTAGAATTTTATATTTGTTCTTTTGGTTTAGATTTGTGCATTAGAATTGTGCATTAGATTGTGCATTGGATTGTGAAATAGATATCATTGGATTCATTGACCCAAAAAAACATACATTTAGACTCCCAAATGAAGTCAATAGCAGCATTTAACCCAGAGAAAATCGCAAATATAAATTTCAAATGGCGGCCATTTTGAAATCCAATATGGCGGACATAAAGAGAGAATTCCTAGTGGCTCAATATCTGAAAGTGTCTATTTTATATTAATGTACATTTGTGCCAAATTTGGTGCTTGTATCACAAAATGCACAATCCTTTTGAATATTTGGGCTAAACCGCCCCTTTAAAAGGGAAGTGTGAAATAAAAAAAGAAGTAAAGTTACGAGTGGATGTTCGATTCTATCTTTAGACTTTGTTTTACTTAGGGGCTCTCGTTTTAAGAGTACATTCACATTCCATAGGATGCAAACGGTGTCCTTTTTTCTTTTTTTTTTAGTTCTCTTGTTAAATACATGTGTATTCATATCCTTGATTAAGACCTGTAGATGCATGTGTGAGCCCAAAGATCGACGTGATAGGAGATTCTATCGATAATCTAATGCGTTGTACTTCTTTAGCCTTTCAAGATTTGATTTGTTTTATTTCCAAATCAAAATGAAAAAAAAAACTACACATAATTTATTATTTTTCATTCGTTTATTCACAGGTAAACTACATTGATTGCGGCCGATGTTTGGGTTGAAATCGCCGTACTCGGCAGATGACGGACAATGAGTGCTAATAAACTCAATAGACGTCATCACGAAAAGCTACTACAATACAACAGCCTCATCTAGATGCTGAAGAAACGGAAGGCAATGGAATCAGTCGCCTAAATGTCACAGACCCAAACTTTACAGAAAGGTGTAGTGGCGTAGATACAGAACATCCCAAAGTAGCCCATGCGTCGTATCTGATTAAATCAGAGAATTCCAAAAAGTATACAACCACGCCTGAGATCCCGAAGAATTCGAAAATCCATCCATGGAAGATGTAGGACTAACCAAAGCTGTTTCTAAGTATCGCTCGGACATAATAATACTAATATTTATAACAATAATACTGATTAAGGGACCGTTCTTTGACGAAACGTTCTAAAGAGCCCAGCTTCGTCTAAATAAATTTGTCCGTTTCTAAAGTAAAAACAAAGATTTTCTTGTAAAATCTGTGTATTTGAATTTTCTGCTGTTATAATTGAATAACCAGTCCCAAAAAAGCACATTATGTTATACTGTAGTGTCTTAGCATGTTTTCAATTTGACAAGTTTGTGGAAGTTCATGTTTTGACACAGAGTCTAGTCGAATATTGTCTTGCTTACCAGCCACCAGTTCTGATAAAAGTATACTGGGGAGAATAAATAATAAGGACGGGATGCAATATCGCATCAGAATGCATTACTTCATAAACAGTCTGTCTTTTCGGTTATCGAACTAATGTCTTCTGCGAGCAGTTGCAAAGACCCTTTAACCGCTACACCAGAGTCGTTGGTCCTCGAGTCCATTGACTTTGGGATTTATAGCAGTAAACAGGGTATCGGAGGAGGGATTTGTGGTCCACCTTTGTAGCAACCAGATCTATGTGTTGTTGGTTTCTAAAAGGAAAAGTTGGTATACTGCAAGGAGAAAGAAAAGATTCTAAAACATCTCTCTCTGTATGTCTTTTTCCTTCTCACTATCTCATTCACTCTGTCTGTCTGTCTGTCTGTCTGTCTGTCTGTCTGTCTGTCTGTCTGTCTGTCTGAAATAAAGAGACATTTGAGTTAGATATAAACCCCCAAAAAAAGAGAAATAGAAAAAAGAGACAGTAACAAATGAAGAATGAGACAAATAGAGATTGGAAGACAGTGTGTGTGTATGTGACTGTGAGAAAGAGAGAGGGAGAGAGACAGTTGAGGTAGATATAAAAAGGACAGATAGAAAAAGAGATATTAAAAATGGGAGATAGAGATAGAGAGAGAGAGAAAGAGAGAAAGAGAGATAAACTTGGCCATAGCAATAAGGATGTCAACTGTGTTTAAAATTAGGTTAAACATAACAAGGAATATAATAGGGCTCTAAAAATCTGAGTGCAATCTCCGGAGACTATGGGCACACCTCTCTCGATAATATAAAGGATTTTCTCCGCCCCAACCTTTAATACCATCGTTGTCTTTTACATAAAGGTCCTGGGGAGACTCTTTTTTTTAAAGATTTGATTTCCTTAGCTCACTTTAAGACTCGGAATATATGCAGTTCAGAGTGACGGGCTAACTTATTATCTTTTTCTATCTATCTATCTATCTATCTATCTATCTATCTATCTATCTATCTATCTATCTATCTATCTATCTATCTATCTATCTATCTATCTATCTGATCAAATCGAATCAAATC